ACCGCGTTGAGGCCGTAGCTCTGCATCTCGTTGAAGTCGTCCTCGGTGATCCACGAGCCCCAGTGGTTTTGGAAGGCGGCGTTGGCGGCGGCCTGGCCCAGGTGCGAGACGCAGTCAAACTCCGAGTTCTGGCCGCTGCAGCCCATGCTCGACCAGGTGTTGCTGGCCATCCAGGGCTCGAGGACAAACTGCGAGCCCAGGTTCACACCGCGCAGGGGCGCGCCGTTCGTGGTCAGCCAGCGGCCCTCGACTGACCGGGTCGTTGTCTTGTTGAAGAGGTTGGTCCCATCACGGGCCTCCATGCGGTGGACATTGTCCTGGGGCAACCAGGCTTTTGCCACGCCCAGGAGGGACGCGACTGCCAGAGTCGAGAGGGTGTTCACCATGGTGTCTCTGGCGAGAAGAACAGAAGAAAATACCAACGATGAAGAAAGGAAGGAAACAGGAGTGGTGACCGATAACACAATCAGACAAATCAAGGGACGCTTGTGTCTGCCACTGTTTTATACTATGATCGTCCGCTGTCGAGCATCCCGTATGTCCTATATTCCGCTGGACACTGGATGCAAATCAATCGAGGCTGCGATCGTCGCATGTTCACGATGTCGACACCAGGTAAAAAAACCGAGTTAAAAATGCAGATCTTCTCGTCAATCGGTAAAACGACCGGACGTGGTCGACGGTCCATGCTTGGACGATTGGTGGGCATGGGTGCTCTTCGCCCTAAACTGGACGCTCGGCGTTATTAACCTCAAAATGCGAGGAAGTCAGAGGACGGGCCGAAAGTATGAAACACAAAAGACCGCCCGTGACAGGGCCACGACTGGGTCACGACAGGACCACGACAGAGACACGGCGTTGAAATGTGCCGAGGCCGATGCCGTGGAGAGTACATGTAGGTCAATGCAATGGCGGCACACTCGGAAGCGATTTAGACTTTCGATCCAACCATGAACGATCGTCGGTCAGATAAACGCTGTGCGCAGGGTGAATGGCCAAGAGCGACGGGTAAACAGTATGGGGTCACGATGTGGGATCGATTTGGGACGAAGAAAGCTAACGTCGTAGCGCGTGTCGATCATGGCTGGAGTGGTAAGGTTATCGGGCAGACCGGATCACACATACCTCTTTGAGCTAGATGGCGGGGGGTGGTGCGGAAGGGGATATGAGTGGGCTGCATTGGTTGCATTGGCTGCATGACACAGGAGCTCTACGATAATGGCTTGTGGGCTGTGAGCAAAATCCACATGAGTAAATGAGAGAACAACTGAGGATGACTTGGGAGGATGAGAATGTTAAAGACCATTCAAGAAGAGAGGACAAAAAATGAACAATGGTGGCGGTACGTAAGCTGGAGAGCCAAGAACGGTTGAAACTCTCCACGTGGAGCTATCCTAAGGAGCTGCTGGATCGAGGATAGGACACAAAAGGAGTGGACCCTTGCTAGGGGCTGTGCTGCCTGGCAGGGTTGGATGTTGGTGTTGGGCAGCGTGGCAGCCTAGAAGGACGGGATGGCAACGGCTTTGTTCCAGTTGTTGCCACAGACCAGCCACACTTCTCAGGGGCAACACAAACATCTGTGAGTTTATTTTTACAAAACCCCGCCACATCATTTCAACGGCAACAACGGCTCATCCCGTAAATCCTCATCCCGTATCGACTGTCCATTGACATTGAGTCATGACGACCAAGAAATGTCCCCATTCAAAAATATGGATCTGGATGGATGGATGCACGAAGCATGCAAGAGTGGTAGTGGTAGGGCCCAGAATTGACCACCTGGCCGTTGTGTACTGGGAGTAATTGCAACTTTGAGTAGGGTTGCAAGTCAGGAAGCGAGCTTGCTCTACTTTTTACACTTACACAAAACAAACTGCCCCGCAACGATACACTTCTAGGACATGCCTAGAAGGGAAGCATATTCTTAATCCCAGATGGGAGGTTAATTATTCATCTCAAGTGCAGTGTGCCGGTCGTGGGGGTTGCTGTGGCTGAAGAAACGCGGATTGGCGGAGATAAACGGTTGTCCACAAAGGTTGTCCGCAGCACAGCCTTTTTGCGCATATTTCGCTCTTGAAGCTTCTTTGGGACATGGAGTATGGGACATTGCACGTCATGCACGTCCGTTGCTTACTGATAAACAGCCAGTCAAGAGATGCAATAAAAGGAGGCAAGGTTGCAGTCGAGGTGGTGGGTGTACGTCGTACCAGAGTTAGAAAAACAAACAAGTTCATAAAAAGAAAATAAAAAAGCAACCATTAAATAATCTGACCGACAATAATTGAGATTAAATAAAAAATAGCGCAAGGCAGGATCTAGAACGAATGATTGCGGAAATAAATAGCACGATTGTGATGCTGACAGGGCATCGAACCCATATTCAGCTAGTACGTAGAATCCTGACACGTACGAATAAACACGGGCCATCTCAACGCGTCTAATCCTAGAGAGACCTCCCACTACTGTGACCAATGCGACGATAAAGCAAATCCATGTGGATGCATCTTTCATCGTCACGTTGATATAGGCCTTACGTCGAACCTCAAAGACGCATGGTCTCGCCGGCGATGCCGAGAAAACACAAATTGGTGACCGACGGTGCAAGGACCAAACAACGACAGAGTGAGGAAAACTGACGACAGACACAACGTGGACGGAGATTTGGTGTCGACTCAGTGATGCCGGCTTGCCGACTCTAGTATGGGGACACGTTTTGACAAGGTAGCCCGACGACGGATCGAGTAACGCGGGACATCTGTGAGCTGAGAAATTATAGCATCGTAGAGGATTTCTCTGCCGTCCGTGGACAACGGAATCTGTCGTCTGTAATCAGTCTGACTGCCTCTTATCTGTAAATTACGTGGGATATTGTTGTCGGCTGTGATCCGTAGCTCTTTTGTATAAATCTGTAGGTTCTCCGTCCATATACAGATGCCCCTATTCTTATCTCATAGAATATCCTCAGAATCAACAAGATCTCACTCCACATCTCATCTCACAGACCACTTGGCCCCGACACCACTCTCCACAATGATCAGAGCACTTACTGCCCTCTCCCTGGCCGGTGCGTCGCTGGCTGCCAGTGTCCTTGCCACGGTTCCTGCCGGCGTCCCTGCGGGCTCCCATTCGCGCCCCAAGAGTCTGCCCTTCCCAGACATTGCAGCCATTACGGCCAACACGACGCTGCCCAAGCACAGCCATGTCGGCCTGCAGCGGGACCGGCCCAAAGGCACCACCGCCTCCTCGTCGCGCCTGGGCCGCCGCGACGACTATTGCAAGACGCATGCCTGCGTGGGGTCGCCCACGCTGACCTGGGGAGACGCCGACAACGGCGGCAAGGGCATCCACATTACCAACGCGGGCAGCGACTGGCGCGGCTTCTACATCTTCCAAAACTGCTGCGACCTGGTGCCGTACAAGTACATTTGGATCGCCGCCGGCGAGACGCAGTTTGTGACGCTGCCCGGCGACTTCCAGGGCCGCATCCAGCGCGGCGTCGACAGCACCATGCTCAGCGGCCAGAGCAACCTGTTGGGCACCTGGTTCGAGTTCAGCTGGGACGCCAACGGCGCGGGCTGGGCCGACATCTCGCTGATCCGCGGCTGCGACGGTGCCGCCCTCATCTGGGACACGGACAACGGCAACGAGTGGATGGGCTTCACGCAGTGGATCCTGGACGGCGCGCCCACGGGCGCCTACGACATGAAGAACGACGGCCAGTGGGTCCTGGCCGCGTCCGAGGCGCTGGGCAACCCGGCCGACGTCAACACCCTGGTGCGCGACTGGTACATCCAGCAGGTCGGCACCGACCGCGTCTATGTCGACGACTGGCACGGCAACGGCGCCGTCATGGAGTCTCCCACCGGCCGCATCTCCTCGTACTGGCCCGAGGGCCGTGCTTAAGTTGTTGTCGACCTGCTTACGACGTTCACTGTCGTCGATGAGGGCTGGTTGGGAACATAGCCGACGGACGTAGCGAAGACATTGTATAGCCGTTTTTGGATTGGTGCTCATACTCTCTGCGTCTGGTTTGTTCCTCACGACAAAAAAATTGATACGGCAATTAATAAAGTGCCTTCCGTTATTCAAGCCTAATTAGTCAACCAGGACAGAAAATTAATTGGAAAATTTTGTCGGATGTAAACCCGACCTTTTCGGTTTACTAACGAGTTTATGTAGAATTTTGACTTATTTTTGCTCAATTTTTAAATAAAGAAATTTCACCAAAATTGGTGGAGAGTATCAATCTTTTTGTCACGAGAGAGGGCAGGTATCAGCGGGAGAGCTCTGACTAGAAAATGCTGTCCCACCACATCAACTTAAGGCTTACTGCTTTAACCTTTCTCATCACATTCACGGCTTGTCACACAAAATGACTGCCGCAAACGAGCGCGCTTGTTACGGATAAAAGACACGATTAGTAATTCGTACCGTTACTTTAATTGACGAGTGATGGTACCGGTAGTCTGGACCAGCTCGTGTTCTCGTATTCTCGCGTGGTGTGGAGAGTCATGAGATCGAATTGTTTGGGATGCGCAGGTGATATCGGAGTGGCCCTCGGAGTGGCCATCGGAGTGATTTCTCAAGATCGGAGTGAGTCGTTAAAGCGGACCCACACATGCCAATGTCGGAGTAAACTAAGTTCAACTTCTCTGTTCACTCCGCTCGGCAGTCTCCACCATCGGAGGTAAAACTAAAAAGGGAGAAGAAAGGTTTGGTGCGGCAAGCTTGGGCTTTACGAATACTCCGTCCACTGTTCATAGGTACATTGAATTTGGCCGCCATGATTCTGTCCCGCTGTTATGTAAGACCGCGTGCGGTGTGAAATATCGCGTCTCACTTGCATCATAATTTTCGAGGAAAATCTGACTTGTTTATATCGACATTTTTTTTCGTTTGACATTATCTCATCTGGTTGTTTCTTTTGGCGTTTCTGTTTTCGTTATTGCATGTTCGACGGCAACGTTTTCCTACAACTCCCTCCCGCGACAACCTCCACAATGACCTCCGATTCGCTGGCGTCGCTGGCGGACCTACAAACAGAGCAGCGCAACGCAAAAACTGCACAGATCGATACCGTCTCCACGCTGGAACTATGCCGTGCGTTTGTCTCTTCTGCACGGACTCGGTCTTTGAACGAACAGGTACTAACCCCCGCAGAAATAATCAACGACCAGGACCAGGGCGTGGCGGCCGCCGTCAAGCTGTGCCTCCCTGAGATTGCGCGGGCAATTGATCTCGTCGTGCCGCGCATCGCCACCGGCGGGCGTGTTGTCTACATTGGCGCCGGCACGAGCGGCCGCTTGGGCGTTCTGGACGCCTCGGAGATCCCGCCGACGTTTTCCGCGCCACCCTCGCAGTTTGTTGGCCTGATTGCCGGCGGCGACGGCGCGCTGCGGACGGCCGTCGAGGGCGCCGAGGACTCGGAGACGCTGGCGGCCGAGGAGATTGCGGCGCGCCTGGAAAGCCAGCCGCTGGGCCGCAACGACGTCGTCATTGGCATTGCCTCGTCCGGGCGCACACCGTACGTGTTGGGCGGCCTGCGGTACGCCAAGTCGGTGGGTGCGGCCACCGTGGGGCTGGCGTGCGTGCAGCCGAGCCAGATGCGGGAGACGGGCCTGTGCGACGTGCTCATTGAGTGCGTGACGGGGCCGGAGGTGTTGACGGGCAGCACACGGCTCAAGGCCGGGACGGCAACAAAAATGGTAGGCCAGAGCATACGCATCGATACTCCATCGCATATTGTTTATTGTTTCCGAAGTCGCACGCCACTAACCAACAGATCCTCAACATGATCTCGACGGGATCCCAAGTCCGGACAGGAAAGACGTTTGGCAACCTGGTACGTCGCCGTCCATGCCGCTGGCTGCTCTCTCCGAATGTGTGGGAACCACCGCTAACCGTGCAGATGATCGACTTGCAAATGTCCAACGAGAAGCTGCGGGACCGGGCACGCCGTGTTCTGCGCACGGTCGTGTCACCGGCCGGCATCCTCGCCGCACACAGGGTCGACGAAGACGCCGAAGTTGACAGCCTTTTGGCGGGCTGCGACGGCAGCGTCAAACTGAGCATCCTCGTGGCCATGTCTGGCCTGTCACCGGACCAAGCGCGTTTGGTGCTGCAAAAAAGCGGCGGCATGCTGAGCAAGGCGCTGCGGAGTGTTGACCACCAAAAGATCTAGCGAGCATTGGAGCGGGATAGACTGAGAATAGAGTCAAGCATTGCATTGTTGTACAATACACAGTATCTTAGGTTCCATATAGAGTGACATGATTCATTTATTCATTATCGTATTGTCTATTATACACGATGGCGCTGACTTGCCAGAAACCGAGCACCCTCTAGGGCTGGCGACTGGACCTGCGTTGTCCATTGGAACTGGACGTTTCGTCTTGCCAGCTCGTTTCGTACCATGTTGCTGTAGGTTTTGTGGCACAAGAGTCCACCCGCCATGATAAGGGCTGTCTCTGTCGTGTTTGTATCCAAGTTTTGCACACGTAGTAATTCCTCTACCAAGTCAGCCAAACTGGCTGCGCCCTGCTCGAGGATCCGTCGTGCCTGGTCATCTGTGTCGGCGAGCGACAAGACGATGCGTGCCGCTTGTGCAATCGTTTTCGTTGGAGAGGATGAGGTGTTTGCTGAAGGTGGCGTGGATGCCAACGGCGTAGGCGTCAATATACACGACAGGAGGTCTCTCGGTTGGAATTCCGTGCCTTTCACTCGCTGTTGTTCTCGAAAATAGTCAAAGACAGCTTGACTTAATGCGGGTATACTTTTGTCGTCACTCCCATCCTTGGTCCACGCATCACTGGTTCGTAGAGCCACACGCAAAGCATCACGGCCAATGGAGAAACCGGCCCCGTCGTCACCGAGCAGTGGACCCCAGCCGCCGACTCGTCCAGTACGTGCAAGCACTGTGTCGTCATCGTCGGTCTCGCTCTCCTTCCGTCCATAGCTCATGGCCACCGAGCCCGTCCCCGCCACGAGGACGACGGCCGACGGCGCGTGCCACTGCGTCGCGTTGACGGCGAGAAGGTCAATGTCGGCCGTGATGCGCAGACGAGGGCCCAACGGTAGCTTGAGGAGCTGCACCATGGCTGCATCCAGGACCGGCGCAAGTGATGGCCGGTCATAGCCCGCAATTCCTATCCATGCTGAGGTGATCTGTACGCCGGCGAGTGTTTCTGCCCGTGTCGGCACGTGGGACAACGCGTCGTTCATGGCTTCCGTGATCACAGCCACTGCAGCGTCCACGCCGATGGTTGACGGATTGCACGGCCCGGCTTCGCCCACGACAGTTGTGCCCTCCGAGTTGATCAAGACGGCCGTGCATTTGGACCCGCCGCCGTCGACACAGAGGACGTACTGGGGAGACTCGGATACCATGGTAGTAGAAGAGTGTTGCTTTTGCGTCTTGTATAGATGGTGAACAAAATTTGGAAACAAAGCCGATACCAACCTGGATGAGTCGGCCACGACCGTAGTTAAGTTGCCGTTTATGGATGTACAGCCACACAATCCAGCGTCGTGGTACGTGGGAGATAACAGTGGACCCTAGCTCGCTTCACCGGGCTGCATGTGCATATCGCAGTGTGCCATGCACTTAATACTTGTGGAACTACCGGCAGTCCACCGAATTAAGATTATTCGTGCCGCAGGAACCCGCAGAAGCCGGAACCAGAAAACTTCGGGGAAAGCTGACAATAGGAGAGCCGGGGATTGGAGCGAGGGACCAAACCAGGGAGGTGGAGAGAGAGGATGAGGAGACGGCCTGGAGAAGAGAGTAATCTTAGGTAACGAGAATGGAGAGAGTGTGGGGAGGAACCCTGGAGAGATACAGAATGTGTGAATGCCGGCAAGGAGACAACCGCCAGAAACTGCCAAAAACGTGCAGAGCTGCCCAAACGAGTTGGCGGAGATATTAAAAAACGACTAATCATCGGAGAGAGTCTCGGAGTGGATTGCCGGTCCCCACTCCGAAGCGCTATCAACGACAAAGTGCGGAGTAGTGTGACACCTTGGCAGGGAGACAATGAGGCTTTTGCGATAACCATCCCATGTTCTGGGGGACGACGTTCCTATAATGACCCATGCTTTTTCGCGACTCCGCGTCTTTGGACCCGTATCAGGCGACATGCACTGAATATTTACTTATATATGATGTGGTAACCGTCGCCGCCGATCTTTGTTTTCGTCTCACCCTCTTTCATCTCCACAGAAGAAACCCGGAGCCTCGTTTGAACTTGCCTCTTTCCCTATTTTCTTCCACATACACACCACGATGGACAAGAATACACACGTCGACCCTGTGGTCGACCCTACCGTCGAACCCGCAGCCGAAGTGCAGCCATCAAACGACGACGAATGGAGCCCGCACGCCTCGAAGCTGGTGCGCTTCTACGCGCATCCGTGGACGCAGATTATCCTCGTCAGCTTCATCTTCTTTTGCTTGCCAGGAGTACGTCTACTCGAATGCACCCTCGTCTTCTTGACCCCCTACTGACCAGCAGATGTACAATGCGTTGAGCGGCCTTGGTGGCTCCGGCCAGGTCGACTCGACCGTCGCGGCCAACGCCACGGTGGCTCTGCTCGCCGCCACTGCCGGCACCGCGCTCTTTATCGTCGGCCCCATCTTCTCGTACGTCGGCCCGCGGCTGTGCTTCATGATTGGCGGCTGGACGTACGCGCTGTACAGCGGCTCGCTGCTGGCGTACAACCACCACAAGAACGGCGCGTTTGTGATTGCATCAGGCGCCATCCTGGGCATCGGCGCGTCCTTTATCTGGATTGTGCAGGGCGCCATCATGACCAGCTACGTGCCCGAGGGCCAAAAGGGGCGGTCCATTGCCGTATTCTGGATCATTTTCAACCTGGGCGGCGGCGTCGGCTCGCTGGCGTCCTTTGGCCTTAACTTCCACTCCAAGAGCGGCACCGTCACCGACTCGACCTACATTGCCCTCATGGTCATCATGCTGTTCGGGTGGCTGCTCGGCGTCTTCATCTGCAGCCCGCGCCGCATCCGCTTGGCCCAGCTGCACGCCGCCCTCGAGACCGAGCGCCGCACCCTGCGCGGCACCGTGGACATTGCCGTGCGCACGATGCTGAGCTGGCGCGTCGCCGCCATGCTGCCCCTCTTCTTCTGCGCCAACGTCTTTTACTCGTACCAGCAGAACAACGTCAACGGCTACACCTTCAACATCCGCACCCGCTCGCTCAACTCCGCCCTCTACTGGATGGCCCAGATGATTGGCGGCCTCGTCATGGGCTGGATCCTCGACATGCCCGGCCTGCACATCGCTCGCCCGACGCGCGCCCGCATCGGCTGGGCCGTCCTGTTCGTCACCGGCATGGTCATCTGGGGCGGCGGCCTGGCCTTCCAGCGCTGGGCCGAGGCGCGCCTGGCCGCGGGCCACAAGCAGGACATTGACTACACCGAGGGCGCCCTCGCCACCGGCCCCATTTTCCTATACATTTTCTACGGCGCCTACGATGCCCTCTGGCAGAGCTTTTGCTACTGGCTCATCGGCACCGAGTCCAACAGCGCCGGCCGCGCCGCGGTGCTCGTCGGCGCCTACAAGACTTTCCAGTCCACCGGCGGCGCCATGGCCTGGCGCATCAACGCCCTCGGCAAGTCCGGCATGACCCAGTTCATCATGGACTGGAGCCTCTGCATGGGCAGCCTGGCCATTGCGCTGCCCACCGTCTGGACAGTGACGGCCCACACGACGCTGGAGCAGGAGGCCGGGTTCCTGCCGAGCGACACGAAGGAGGTGCCCCACGAGGCCCATGACGATAACTAACAAGTGGAGGTGACTGTGGCTGTGATATGGGACCGGGAATGTAAACGTTTTAGGTGTCTGGGGGACCCGTAATAAATACCTTGACTGTTCTCAACACGTTACTTTGCATTCGTACGAACGCAGCAGCATGCCGTTTTTTATCTTCCTCTTTATACTAACTAGCTTAAGCATTAAGATGTTGTCATCGTACCTCTATTTTGCCATGCAGTTCCAAGTCTTGCCGCTGTCGGGTGTCGACATGATGCCGTTAGTTTCTTCGACAGTTTGCAGTTATGGTCGGTGCAGGCACGTCCCTCTAAAGGCGCAACACGACCCACCCATTGAGTCGCTGGGCTTGATATTGTCGTTGACATAGATATCTTGGTCCCATTTCTACGTGTCGTGGGCGTGGGCAAGGCAGGCCACATTGAGGTTTTCGATGCTATGGAGAAATGGTCGCAAAAGAAGACCAGACACTGGAAGGCACTTCTCGTCTGATGTATCCATCCCCTCACAAACACGGCGACCACTTCATGTAAAAGTGGTGGTAGGCGGGCAGCAAGCAATGCAGACCCCGACTTTTGCATATCGTCGCCGGCCATGGCCCGCACGGCGACAACCAGCTGTTCAGGAAGGAAGTAGGCCTTGTCAGGGGTTTGACTGTTGCCGACGGACCCACTAATCAGTGGTGTATTGACATGGCCCAATTGGGCAATATTTATCGGCATCTCCCGACCCGCCGGAATCTAGAATCCACCCGTCATCGCTCTTTCGTCCTTCTCTTTGCGTCCTGAGTTCAGACCACTCGTCATCGCATCAATCCTCCACATATTGACCTGCATGGCTGGGATTCGTCACTTGTCGATAGAATGCCATTCCTACCGGGGCCGAATAGCATCAACAACACGATTCCACACTTCCGGCTGCTTCAGAAACAAATTACAATGTCGACGCACAATTTACTCATGGAGTTCCCATTTTTCGACATCAACGGCACAGGCAGCAGATTTGGTGATTTCCTCACTCTCCAACACCGCACTACCGACCCGGATGCCGTCCACCGCCTAATTTTCAGAGGCACTGCCGCCGGATGGCACCAAGAAGTGGATGCCACTGAGGTGCAAGCGACACGGCTCTGCAAAGTGCCCACCAATTTACCGACATGTTTTGAGACAGAGTATGTGGCGCCTTTGCGAATGCCCTTTAGTTTCAGCTCATGCACCTAGCCGTGCTGCCGCTCCACTCATACGTCTTTGATGCGGATGCAGCTCTGCAGGGATGTCTGCGGGGTGTTTACAAGGCAGAGACACAGAGAACGTCGCGCGCTGTCAGTTTTTTTTTTTTGAACACCGTACAGCATGGATTGTGATATCGTGACGCGGACATCATATGCCTTCTGCTTTTTGACTACCGAACCAAGCCACATATGATGACCCCACCGACACTTGTGATTGTCGGCGACAGGGAAATTTGGTCGCCAGGTATGTTTCTTTTCCTCCCTTCGTGGTTATTTTATCACAATTTACGACAGCCCGCGGAGTGACATTCTGGAAATTCGCGATTCGTTACGTACCGCATCCCGAATGCCGAGCTGGTCGTTGTGGCCGATGCCAACCACATGGTACACTTTGAGAAAATGCAGAGGTTCTAGCAAAGATTCATAGCTTTTGCACAAGCTACCATTTTGCACGTTGCGGAAAACAAAAGACACAGGGTCTACAAATGATTCGTGTCATCCTGCTGGGGTGGATTGAGACCACAGCTGGCGCCGTGGACGTGGGGGCTGTGCCAAGCGTGCACGGATGTATCTCATGTGCACATCGTGACCCAACACCGGACCAAAATATGACACGTCTGGCTTTGTGCCACTTCTTTCCGCGGTGCAGGATTAGGCTTCTGGGCGGTGTGGTGCGAAAGCAGCGGTGTTGTATGCCGCGCTGAACATTTTCTTTGTCGTTGACGCACGCCAGGTTCATTGGTGGGGAAAACCAAACACTCCCCCTGGTCCATCTTCTCAAAACACGGTATTATGCACGGATATAACCGCCGCAAACGGAAAGCGCCTGTTGCGATGTGGTTCTCATTGGGCACGCTCCAACCAACAACGAATTGTGACATATCATGAGATCATGAGCGCCGTCGCCACGCGTGGTAAAAAACTAAATAGGGAGAAAGACACTCCTCTGGCTTCTTTCTCTCGGTTTCCATCAGTCCAGATGCAGGATTATCCCTTTCCTACGCTCCTCTTCACCTTCTTCACCTTCTTCACCTTCTTCACCTTCTTCATCTTCTTCATCTTCTACGTCTTCTTCGTCTTCTTCATCTTCTTCCTCTTCTTCATCGTCTTCCTCTTCTTCAAGTGGTACTCACCAGTTATCGTTTCATTCACGGCATGGAGTCACTCAGCGCAACCACACTGCGCGATGCCCTCGTGCGACAGAAGCCGTTTGTGCCTTGCACGTCCAGACGCACAGGCAACACGAAATACGCACCGTGGCCGGAACCCAACATCCGGGTGTGGTCCGAGTTCAACATCCAGACGCTCAACGACAGCTATGGTCATGTCCTAGATACGGCCCTCCCACGTTACCTCGTGGACAATCTCACAACGCCTGCCGACGTTTTCAAGAACATGACTGTTTCCGACGATAAAGCTCCCCTACATTTCATTGGCTGGAACGATGCGACCGTTATGCCTCTCGTCAAGTGGTCCATGCAACAGATGGGCCTGCACACCGGCACGGCATTGTTCCACCGGTATACGGATGCACAGGGCACCACGGTGGCAAAACTGCCACAAGCGCCAAACAAGTTGACAGTGGACCATCTTGTGTACCTCCAAAATTCGCATCGGGATACCCTCGTCGTAGGTCTCGGGCGGACGAGCACGAAATGGCGCGGCGTGGCGGCCATGCGCAATCCCGGCGACGCCAGAGGCGAGAATACTTGGCCAATCCGGCAGCTGGCCAATTTGTGTGCGCGGTCAGGCACGCGGTACGGCTACATTCAGACGGATGAGGAGCTGGCGGTCTGTTGTTTCGGCGCCAAACCTCCGACAAGCGACAAAGCGGACACTGGAGCGCGGTGGCAGCAACCAGACGACAAGTGGGACGACTGGTCGGTGTCCTTGATGGTCGTGCCATGGAATACGGAACTATGCGGGAGTGGCGATGCCAGTGGCGGTGGAGCTCGCCGCATCCTCACGACCGAGCTGGCGCTGTGGTGGCTCTGCATGTTGGCGTTGAGCGACGGTCATCGGCCGCTGGTCGAGACGAAGGAAATCGTGGCAATTGATTCCTGGGAGCGAGTGTATCTGCACAAGGAGCGCCGATGGGTGCGGCGACACCGCTACTCGTCCTGCGAAGTGCCCGCGGATCCACCACCGCCATCAGCATATGAGACCCCGGAGCCGGGCAACGCAGCCACGTTGGCGGCAGATGTGGGTGCCAACGGACAGAATTGGTTCGACCTTATTGACCCTGCGACAATTGACATTACCGGTGCCAACTTTGACGGCATGTGGCCGGTGTAGTGCAACGGCAACAGGACGAACTGGCCGTAAATAAGGTGACCGTCTTCATGGAGGTGTGAATTTGTATGGAGGGTCGTCAAGGCGTTGTTCTTCGGTTCTTGCGCAGCTGGTTCTGAGATTATCTTTTCCTTTCAATTTCTGGTTTTTCTTCACTTCTCACGCAGCCGGTTAGGAGTCATCTTTTCCTCTCAATTTCTGCTTTTGTTCAGTTTCCAGTTGCTCTTATGTATGACTTAGCTCGATCATAGTAAATCAAAAACCCACCAAAGACACTTATAAATTGTGAAAACAAAGTAGAACAAACCAGTCAGATTGGCAGCAACCAAAATAATTTTATACGGACCCCGTGTCACGCATCACGTGATGATTAGTCATATTCTTCATCCATTCTACATCCCTTCTCAACCCGCTCCAAAGTCAACAAAGAGACATAGCGCATTGGACAATGAAAGCACCAGCGCATAAGACGCAAACGGCGACACCCAAAATAGGATAAAATGCGCACCCGCCCGTCGTCTCTTGCTGCACATTTGGGGAGAATGCATATTTTGCCAACTTCCTTTCCGCAGAATCTGTATCATTTCAAGTCCATTTTTGATTTCCTCACGTCGCTTTCCATCATGTATCCAGACTGGCCTGAGACGGAGGCCGATCTCGTGCCTCTACCGCAATGCGACGGCCCCAAACTGGCCGCATTTGATTTCCAAGGAAAGCAGCAGATCGAATTTCTTGAGTATCTCGGCGAAGGACTGCACGCGCACGTGGTCAAGGTCAGAATCAAGGACAGAGAGTATGCCCTGAAGCTTGTAGGTGCCAAAGTCTGCCCTCCTGTCACGTCTCTTCATCGACTAACGTAATAGTTCCGCTTCGTGTACGATCACGACTGGTACGGCCCTGGTGAAATGGACGAGAACGAGGACCGCGTCAAATTGACACTCATGGGCCAATACTCGGAGCCGTTCAACAGCGAGTGCCGCGCCTTTGGACGCCTGCACGAGACCGGCCACACCGAGCTGGCCATTGCCTGCTATGGTTACGTGTTACTCGATGAGGTCCACGAGCAGTTGCTCGCCGAACGCCTCAATCTCGAAATGAACGGCAACTGTGAGCTGCCTGGGGCGTACGATATGCGCAGTCGTTACCTCGGCGAACGCAGCGGCAAACCACCGCCGATCCGTGGCATTCTCAAGGAGCTCGGTACCTCGATCGAGTGGGTGGATCCGCCGAATCTCACCGTTCGCGACGCGCGCCGTATCCTCCGCGACATCATCCAGCTACAGCAGCTGGGCATCTTTTCACTCGACGTACGCCGGGACCAGCTTATCAACAACAAGTTTTGCGACTTCAGTGTGGCCATGACGGTGCCGCACTTTTTGACAAACTTTGAGCTGAACCCCAAGCTCGCAGCCGAGCAAAAACGGGCGATGGTGCACGAGGCCTTTCTCATCGCCAGCAACGACTACTGGGCCTTTGAAGAGATGATAGACAGCTCGTGCGAGAAGCCGCGCCAGATGTCCAAGCTGCTGGACAGCGTGACCATCTTTCCAGGGGGAAACCTTTTCCACAGAGGACGCGATCGACACCATCGGCTGCGAAGCACCTCGGGCCAGGATATTCGCGTGTACTCGTTGGTGGATCCGAGAAAGTACGCCTGGAAGGATGGAGAGGTAGCGAGAACGGAGAGGGTAGCAAAAGTGGCCACGCAAGCGGCAGAAAAGCAAGCCAAAAGGACAGCAAAAAAGGCAACTCGAACAACAAGGGTGACAAAGGCGACAAAGGCGACAAGGTCAAACGCGGCCAAGCTGGTGAAGCGTACGCAGGGCCCAAAGAAATACCGGTACAAAATCCCGCAGAGGCCGGAAAAATGGCATTATGACTGCGACCCAAAGATGGCAGCGAAGTTGAGGGACAAGCGAACCCTTGGCACGACAATACTGTGGTATGTCGAGGACAATCTCATACACCCTCGCGGATGGACCTATTTTCGCTGATGTTCTGATGCCACAAGACGGATGGAAAGGGCTGGTTTTATATAGCGTGTACATGCCGTAGTTTGGATTCAATAGAATGGATACTCTTTAAACTGAAATAAGAACAGAGGAAATAAAGGAACAGTGCCACGGCGAGGCCGCCACCGAGCTCGACACTGGTGAGCGGATTCTGGTCAAGACAGCCGAGCGGAAGGGGTTGCAGGGGATGTGATAGTAACGAAAACGAAAAGGAAAGCATGGAAGTATCATGAGCCGTGCACATACTTGCTCCTGGAAGCGATTAAACTAAACGTAGCAGAAACACAGACCGACGGTGATGTTCAGTTTACCGTGTCCTAACACCAGGGACAGCATGAGCAAAACTGTCCGTATGCGATATACCGATGTCATAACCAATCTCCGAAGCGGTACTAAGTGGCGTTCGCCCTACCTTTACAGGCCTGTTTACATTACCTGGATTAACCAGACCGTTTAGCGTCGCAGTCACACCATCCTTGTCCGAGACAGGCCAGCCCTACTGCGCCAAATGCCAGCGCATCTTCTTCTGAGCCTTGGCAGCAGGAAAGATTACTTATCTCCACCAGGTCAGGCCCCGATCACCGTGCGCCCGTGGCGCTCCTCGTGCGGGGTTGTGAGATGTTGTCATCGTCTTGTGGTAGGCCGGCACGGGCCAGCATAACAGCTATCTGGGCGTATTACAAAT